AACCTCAAGTTCATAGTTTACATTTCTGTGGAGGGAGAGGGAATAATTCTCCCCATGGCATGTCTTGGGTGGTATACAGGGTCTTTTGTTTGCCAATTCTCCATCACCACAGCTCAGGTGTGGGCTTCCCTGGCCATGAGAACCAGCTAAACTTTGAAGGCTATGGACACTCAAGTGGTATTTTCTTTTTCTTTTTATTGTAAAGGTAATATACAGAGGAGTTACAGTTACGTAAGTCAAGTAATAAATACATTTCTTTCTGAACACTGTCACCCCTTCCCTCATTTTTTTCCCTTCCACATTCCTCCCCCAAGTTGTATAGTTCATTTCCAACATAGTGTCTAGTGAGTATCACTGCTGAATTAGTTTACTCTTTGTCCTATAAATAACAACAAAGTTTAGGAAAAAGCAGCAAGAAAAAGCCAAGGCTTGTTGAGTTTGCACCACACAATAAGCCTGTGTATGGCCTTCACACTCACTGCTATCAGTCCATCCTTGACCAACACTGCAAGGGAGAGTATCACCACACTACAGAGAAGGGTAAGCCCTCATCCACAGGAGGCTGTGTGGGATCCAGACCATCAGCTGGCCAAGACCTAATCCAAAATCTTGTAGGCTCTCATAACCTGCCTCACTTCTGCTGTGCCCTGTCCAGGCACAGGGCCAGGCACCTGGAAGTAATGTATCCTGCTGGCTTTGCTCCCTTCTGGTGCCTGTGACCTGAGCCTTGGGGTAGCAGGCTGTCATTCAAACCCCTGGCTCGCACTCTAGTGGAGAGACACTGAAGAACACCCTACACTTCCTAGAATACCTGCCTAAACATTCCATGCTCTCCCTCCCAGGCTATGGCTGAAGCCAGCCGCTTGCTTTCAGGCAGGCAAGAGCTATCTCTGTAGCAGGTAAGGCAATGCCATCACGCTCAGAAACAGATGAGGATTTTTAACACCACAGGAAGGAGCAATGGGAATAGTCAGACACAAAAATGCAATGGCTCAGTAAATACTCTGGCTGAAACGAATGAAGCTTGTGTATTACAGAGCAAATGACTAAAAGGACCTTCCCCGTGGGAAAAGGTGAATGCCTTTTTCTAGGTCAAACTAGCTGACTAAGGAAAACCGTGTTTTAACAGCCCAACTATGTTTGCTCATGCCACGAACATGTGCAAGCTTACAAAGACATACATGGTATACATACACATACATACACATACACACCTTTAAGCGCTCGCATTTCCACTTCCTGCTTTCTCCCAGAGTTGCTCATTCCTGGCAAAGATGTGTAGGCTGCACAGGCAGGTAGACTCTGTGAGCTACACCACACAGCTCCCAGGCTGAGCTGCCCCTACCCCTGCCCTTTCTTTAAAAGTTACCCATTCTTTAAAACTACCATTGACAATCATTTCTCAGAAGATGGATAAATAGAAGTGTAATTGTTCTGATACTGTGCCTATAACCAAATTTTAATGAAGCATCATTATAAAACTATAATTCTACTTTTGCAGAAAAAAATCTAAAGATCATGTATATAGCTTTATTTAATATTTCTTATTAAGGTATACTGAATTTTAATGTACATTATCTCTGACTTAAAATTATGTCTGCCTTAGCATTTAAAATGTCCATTCATTCTGTGATGTTATAATAATTACCAAAAATGTATTTAGCATGAATAGTGTCTATAGATGTGATCATAATACATACTAGAATTTATCTATCTATCTACTATCTACTGAACTTGAACCACATCTCCACTTCCAGCTTTTTGCCAGTTATTTGGATATAAGATTCTCGGTAGACTTTACTTCTGAGACTGGCTTTGAACTGTAGTCCTGAGTAGCTGAGATTTATAGGTGTGAGCCACCAGCACCTGGCTTCTGGAATTTATTTTTAAATTATTAACTACAGTAGGTACATTTAGCATCAATCATTCTCCAAATAGTAATGTTTAACCAATAATCCATTAGCCTGCTTTGAAAAGTTAAATTTAAACTTAATCAAACCTTCCTGTGACTTATTTATACTCTACTGTTGGTAATTTTCATTTCTAAAGATGGAGTATCAGTTCATAATGCTAATTATTTAGGACTTTTCTGTAGATCATCTAATCAGGGGACCTGAGAACCAGTCATTCACATGTAATTGGTACCACCAGTTTTGCTGATCAGTAAATACCATGCAAATGCAGGTCACTCTTAACCTGACTTCCATAGAGTTGAGGATGACAACTGGGGTCCATCCTGTCAGTCATTCACAGGGGTCTGTTGTGTTTGTCAGCAGCAGAGGCCAGGGTGGCTTCCTGGAACACTTGGAAAACAGCCCTGGAGCCAGAGCTGAGCTGACACTGGGAGGGGCTGTGTCCTTACATCTCTTTCCTCCAGCAGGCTACAGAGGCCTCAGAAAACTCCAAGACAACTCATAGAACCTCAGTTTTGACAGAACCCCCTCCTTAAAAATCCACATACAGGGAAGTGGTGCTGTGGCTGAAGTGGTAGAGTGCTAGCCTTGAGCTGAAGAGCTGAGGGACAGCACCCAGGCCCAGAGTTCAAGCCCCATGACTGACAAAAAAAAAAAAAAGAAAGAAAGAAAGCCACATACATTGCAGCCGGGCACCGGTGGCTCAAGCCTGTAATCCTAGCTACTCAGGAGGCTGAGATTTGAGGATCACGGTTCAAAGCCAGCCCAGGCAGGAAAGTCTACGAGACTCTTATCTCCAATAAACCACTAGAAAACCAGAAATGGCACTGTGGCTCAAGTGGTAGAGCGCTCACCTTGAGCTGAAGAGCTGAGGGATAGAGCCCAAGCCCTTAATTCAAGCCCCATGGCAGACAAAAAGAAAAAAGAAGAAATCCACATACATTGCAACTTTTATTAGCAAATGCCAAGTGTACAAAAGGATTTTGCTCTGATACTTCCATACATGTATAGAGCATACTTTGATCATGTAAGACTCAAAATACTGCTTTGAAAGTAGCGCCAATTCAGCACAGGGCTCCAGGAATTTCCTCTCCTCACTGGTTATCTCTCCATCCAGTAACAAGCCACAGGGCACGCACATAACTCAGGAAGGCCAACCAAAGAGCAATACTGGATTGTTCATTATATCCAAAATGACATAATTTCTTTCTCTGTAATCATACGTTTCTGTAAGAGTATATTTGGTTCACTGTAATATTTAATAAATGACTATTCTTTATACATAGAACTAATACATATTAAGTATCTTATGAATTTTTCTGTATACTTTTTTTCACCATAAAAAATCTGTAAGGCCAGGTGCCGTTGGCTCACGTCTGCAATCCTAGCTACTCAGGAGGCTGAGCTGTGAGGGCCGTGGTTCAAAGCCAACCCAGGCAGGAAAGTCTGTGAGACTATTATCTCCAATTAACTCTGCACTGTGGCTCAAGTGGTAGAGTATTAGCCTTAAGCTAAAGAGCTCAGGGACAGTGCCCAGGCCCAGAGTTCAATCTCCATGACCAACAAAAATAAATAAATGATAAAAAATTTGTAATGTATTGCTTCCAGATAATCTCTCTGGCATATATATGTCCTTATGGACACATCCTGGAATTCAGTAGCCTACAAAGTTGGTAGGTGTATAAACAAAGCATTTGTAGAGAACTGACTTTTATGTATGTGAAATCTCATTTAACTTTAAGGTGCATTTATTGGAACAAAGCCATTCTAGCCATTCTCTATTATATAAAAATCACCTTGCATACAAGTTTTTAGTTGCAGTGATGTTCTAAAATTTCTGGAACATAGTACAATAAAGCTTAGCTATGACTGAAAAAGTATAATTTGTTTTTCTCTGTTGTGAAAGTAAATTCCATAGCATTTAGTAGGTTCTGAATAAAAGGCAGTCTTAATTGATCATGACAGCAGATTCCTGATTACTACAAAGTATTTGTTTTTAGTCAGGGTCTCATTTAGCTAGTCCAGGCTGCCCACGAACTAGTGCTCCTCCTGTCTTACCCTCCTGAGGGCTCAGCTTATAGGAATGTACCACCATGGCCACTTTTGAGAGGGGGGAGGGTGAGAAGAGGAGGGAGAAAGAAAGAGGGAGAGAGGGAGAGGGAGAGGGAGAGAAAGAGGGACATGTGTATAAATGTTTATATAATTATGGCATATGTATATGTGTAGTTATATATGTGTACACAATATATTGTTATAGTAGATATTGGCATCTTCAGATTTGAACCCAGGGCCTCATACTTTCCTAGAAAAGCACTCTACCACTTACGTCACAACTGTCACTCAGCTTTTTACTGGCTATTTTGGAGGCAAGAGTCCCTCAGATATTTCTGCCCGAACAGCTTTGAATCGTGATCTTCTGACCTCAGCCCACTCAATACCTAAGATTATAGGCATGAGACACTGTTATCAGGCATCATGTATATATGTGTATATACAAAATATATATACTTTTTTAAAACTTTTTTGTTCAGGTACTGGAATTTGAACTCAAGACTTGAGTGCTTCCCCTAACTTTTTCACTCAACACTAGTTCTATACTATCAGAGCCACAGCTCCACTTCCAGTTTTTGCTAGTTAATTAGAAATAAGAGTTTCAAGGACTTTTCTTCCCCAGGTTAGCTTCAGACTTTGATCATCAAATCTCAGCCTCCTGAAGAGCTAGGATTACAGTTGTGAGCCAAATAATCCAAAAAACAAAAAGAGAAGTACCGGGTGCTGGTGGTTCATGGTTGTAATCCTAACTATTCAGGAGGCTGAGAGCTGAGGATCATAATTTGAAGCTAGGCTAGGAAGGAAAGCCCATGAGACTCTTATCTCCAATTAACCACCAAAAAAGCTGCAAGTAGCTCTGTAGCTCAAGTAGTAGAGTGATAGCTTTGAGCAAAAATGCTGAAGGACAGTGCCCAGGCCCCTGTGTTCAAGCCCCGAAACTAGTGTACAGGTGTGCACACATGTGTGCATGTGCGCGTGCACGCACACACACACACACACATACACACACAATCAAGTCACAAAAAAGCATACTTCAAGATTAATGATCATTTAATATTTGAATATTTTCACTTAGAAACATACAATTTTGCACATACAGGGAAACAGGCTGTGCAGAGAACAGAATACTAGAGACATGGAATCACTCACACGCAAAAAAGAAAATCAAGTATGGAGAAAAAAATGGAGCTGTATTCTATGCCTCTGTCTACATACACTGGGGTGTGATTCACAGACTCAAAGCTGACAGAGAAAATTAATCTGATCATTCTCTGTCTGAACAGCAGAACTTCTTGTGATCCAGACAGCTACCTAGGTTCATGATGGCCTAAAATAGAAAAGCTCTGTCTGGCATTCTTCACAAATGATTCTGAGACACTAACCACCAGTTCTCCCTCTTTTCTTTTATATCCCAAGTCCAGAAGAGAACAGAACCAAAAGGACAATCAGGTCAACAATAGTTAATAACACCAGCCAACTTCTTTCAGGCCTGAATGGTTGTTTAGGTATACAAACAATTCTTTCCAACCCATGCATTTTGTGATGCAATGTGGCCCTGTGGACAAAGCTGTGAAAGGGGGCACCTACAGGAGTTGGGGCTCAGGGAATCATACACTTGAACCACTTCATACTCATCATGCATTTCATACCAGAATCAAGTCACCAGAGACAGGGAACTTCCAGGCTCAACTAGATAGCTACCTAATGTGGCTGACACCTCCCAGGACAGAGGTTAATGAGACAGACATTCACTTCAAAGAATTTCAGGGGCCACAATTCCATTCTCTGGGTCCAAGAATTCAAAGTTAATACTAAAATATACAGTGAAACTGGATTTTAATATTTTGTAAGTATAGCCACAGCTTTAATAATTATTACAAAGCAAAAGCCATTCTTCAGACACAGAACATACAACAACATTATGCTGGTTAAAGTAACACTTTCTCACACATCAGAGATGATAGAGCAGTCAGTACACTTCCCTTCAGCTGCCAAGGGCATTGCATGTAACAACTTCTCTAGGAATGGGTACTGCTACGTTTCCTTGGTAGCTGGCTTCACAGGGCAAGCTAGTCAAAGATGAACATAGCAAGAGATGGGGTCAGCTAGCAAGAGATGGGGTCAGCTAAGCCACACAGTAAGAGAGCAGGGCAATGTAACAGGTGTGCATTTCTGGAGTGTACTGTGGGAAAAATAGAACCAAACAGAGGGCATGGTAGAGGTTACTGTACTAACCTGCCACGGTGAAAACGTACTAACACAGGCAGGACAGAAAACATAAAGTACAAGCTTTGAAACACAGAATAACAAATATAAATATTTGAAATACATTATTCCATAATAGTGGGAAATATAAGAATCTGTTAGAAAGGCAGGGCCATGGATTTTCCATGCTTCACATGTTTAGGGGGGCACAAAACTGAGTATGTGGGCCAAGAACAAAAACAAAACTGGAATACTGGCCAAGCTGATGGCCCTAAGCCAGTACCTCAACTCTATATCCAACTTATCATCCATAACTCAAATCTCCCTCAGTCACAGCCCATCCCAGTGCTCACAACACCCTCCAGACTTACAAGACAACCCTTCAGTGGGGTGGAAGTGAGCATTCTCACACAGCTTGGTCTCTGAATGGCCAGAAACAGAACACTAACTGGGCTCTTCCTCCCAGCTTTCTCTCATTCTCTTTATAGTACTTTATCAACAAATAGAAAAATAGGCTCCATGTAGGCTTAGCTGGCAGTAAATATACTCAAAGCAGACATCAAAAATATATTTGAATAATGCAAATCTACCTTCATGTACTTCTTACTGCTCTGACTGTTTTGGTTTTACCTTTAAAAGGTAAAGCCAAAACTTATGAGACTCAAGCCTATTACCAATTTGGAACACTTTCCAAATACCACTAATGAAAAACTAACAAGCAGAAATAATACAATCAAAAGTTCTCTCAGGTTAGGCAAATTTCTGAAGCATCATTTTTAAAAGGGGTGTCACCCTGAGCAGTCAGCTTTGCTGGGGGCCCAAAGACCCACCGGTGGTTCCACATTACCACCTTAGGAAAGTCACTTGACAGCATGCCAGCCCTTAACTCCTAAGAAAACAAGCAGCCAGTTCTGCTCTGAGGTCTTGGAAGTTTATCATTAGACCAAAATAAGTTGTAGTTTTTTCCTGCCACTATCACTTACTCAGTCATCACTAGGTCCTTGGCATAATATGAAAATAAGTTATCCCTTTAAACTCTGTGAAAAGAAAGTGCTTGTCAAGACATGTATATTTAAATAAGGTATTCCAAGAGCTCCATAAGGAAGAACTGGGATGAGCCGGCACCCTTAAAATGAAGTGTGATTAGCTAAACAGCTACAACCCCCTTCTCAGTGGTTCTTATGAGGATTAGTTACAATGATCAGATCACTACTTCCAAAGGAACTATTAAAACATTAAAAACATTTGTCATAAACAGAAATGCCCTGCAAATCATATTATTGCACACAAGGTTCTCAGAAGCTATGCACATTATTTCTTGAAGACTCTAGAAGACCCAGAACAGAGACCCCAACGCCATGCCTGTTGCTGCTCCAGCCAGCATGCCTAGTGCCAGGTCACTGTCATTGTCTCGATACCGCTCTCGAATGATGACTTGGTTGGCAGGCTGCTGTCCATAAAGACCTAAAATAAAGAAGAAAAAAACAGAGCTTTGAAGAGCAGCTTGTGAACTCCAAAATTCACTGGAAAAGACTCTCTCCCCATAACTGAACAGAGTCTCCTCACCACCTCTTTTCCTGTTGCCTTCAGCCCTGCCTGCTGTCTTCTGCAGACATGGTGGCAGGAGGTAAAGAGAGTTAACTCCAGCACCAGCCCTCCTGCACCCCACCGGGATATGCCCTCCACTCTCAAACTGCACCAAGAGAAAATAATGATCCTCAGGCTCACCAGGACCAAACACTACAAGAAGCAGAGGCCTGATGAAACTAGAGTCTTGCCTCAAGTTTCCAGGTCAGGCCTACAGGCAATGGTCACCAGGACAACAGACCCATGGCCTCCAGACAAGCGGAGAGCCAAGAATTCTAGTCCAAGTTATGTAGTTCCATTTTTACATTGACATTATATAATGAACATTGACATTATATAATGACTGTACCTGCTCACCCTCCCTCCCTCCATTTGTGTGTAGGGATGGGAGGGGTATAATGGTGGAGAACGAGGAAAGGGGTGACACTGACCAAGGTGCACTGCACTCGTAACTGATATGGAATTGTAACCTCTCTGGACAACTACGTAATAATAAAATATTTCAAAAATAAAAGAAATCTTGTCCAGAAATAGTCCATTTAAAAGCTATTAACTATTTACTTTAAATCAGCTCATATAACATGCTATTTATTTATTTATTTAGCAGTACTGGGGATTGAATCTTAGCAAGCACTCTAGCACTTCATTTATGCCCCAGCCTTTACACTTCCTTTTCAATCACATCTTTATGTGATAAAATTTATGAGACAAGAATAACATTTATGTTAACAATGGAAATTTTTTTAGCACACTTAAACAAATTTAAGCTTATTTTATATAACTGAAATTATAAGTGAAAATATGTTATTTGCTCTCTTCTCCTGTTTATAGCTATAATGCCTCCTGGTCACTAGACAGCTTTCCAGCTGCTCCTGTACTAACAGGGATCTCATCAGGACATGAACACATGTCAGAGCAGACAGGAAGGCAGCAATGCTCCCAGCATATGCCCAACCCAGACATTTACCTACCACATTACACCCATCTGTCTGAATCAACGCTCAAAATAATCCAGTTCAAATGTTCACCCCCAGTTTGTAGATGGGCACACTGGGCACCCCTGCTATACTCTGTACATATGGCTAACAACCACAGCCTCAAAAGCAACAAAGGATGCTATAGAAAAAAAAGCCACAAAGAGTACAATGAGATCATTGTAATCTAAGGATACATAACAACATTAGAAGTGATCATTTTTTCGGGGGGGGGGGGGGAGGGTCATTCGTGGGACTTGAACTCTGGTCTTGGGAGCTGTCCCTCCCTCAGCTCTTCAGCTCAAAGCTAGCACTCTACCACTTGAGCTACAATGCCACTTCTGGTTTTCTGGTGGTTATTTGGTGGTAAGAGTCTCACAGACTTTCCTGCCTGGGTTGGCTTTGAACCGTGATCCTCAAATCTCAGCCTCCTGAGTAGCTAGGATTACACGTGTGAGCCACCAACGCCCAGCAGAAGTGCCATTTTTTTTTATAAAAAAAAAATTCCAAAACTGGAAAGGGTAGCATTTACTCATATAACCTGAAATCTTTAAATATTCCAATTAGCAAAATGCTAGTTACACAACTTGTAAGATGACCTAAAAGATCACCTGGAAAATCTTATGTCTGCCCTCCCCTCACCCCCACCCCCACCCCCACACAGGTCACAGCCCTCATCACTGGATCCAAAGGCCATGTCCTTGTCGCTTGGAAACTGAGCCAAGACTCACCAAGTCATACCTATTATGGCTACCAAACATAACTATTAGGTAAATGGTCAGATGTCAGCAAGAAGGAATCAGCTACTGTTTCCATAACAATGAAGTTAAATAAATCTTCAGGCAAGACTGAAAGCAGGTCACTTTTGCAAACAATGAACTATGTGGAATGGAGAAGCTTTAAGAGATGGGGAGACAGCTAAAATCACATACTTAGAAGTCTCTTTGGGTTTATATCCATCTAGAAACCACAGAGCAACATTATACTAATGCATTCTCTATAAGATAGAACTATAAGCCACTAAACCAAAGGAGGCAACTCAAACAAGGGTCTCAATCTATATCACAACATACCTGAATAAACTCCACTAACGTGGGTCAGTTAAAGCAGAACATTTACAGTATGTCCTGTGTTCATTGCAATCTGTTACCAACTGACTGACCAAGCTTTGGTCCAAATCACACCAAACAGAATGCTGTTAACCAGTTCTGCACATGAATAGAAGGGTCTCTATGGACCCTGGAAGGTAGGAGAACAAGAACCACTTAAGCACCATAGGGTCTCAGGAAAGGCAATGAAGAATACCCCTCTGCCTGCCAGCACACCCTGCTGTGGGGTGACCACAACCACACTTGGGCCTTCTATTCCCTTAATCTGCTGACTAGTCACAATGCCTACCAACCAGTCCCTCGTGCGGCAAGCAAGGGCACCACTGCCCCCATTCCTCATACTAAGAACAAAGAGTAAGTTTGAAATAGCCTTTACAGTTGCTTCTGAATACTTCTGCTCTTCTACACAGAGAAGAAACAGCTATGGCCTTTCACTCTGTGAACCCACACCTCGTATTAGGCTTAAGAGCCCCACCACAACCAGGACCCCAGTAAACAAATGGGCAAAGGAAATAAATTCACACAAGGGGAACATAATTAGCCAGCAATTAACACAAGGCTTATCCTTGTGTGTCAGCCTAAAAATGTAAAATTGGAGTAAATCCAGAGCTCTCCTTTCGACATACTGACATTAGAACTGTCAGAATAACAGTTGGTTTTACAAGAGCAATCATTATAACAATGAGAATATATTTTATAAACTGGTCTGAGAATCAACTTGGTAAAGTGTTCTCAAGACTAATTCTAATCTTTTTGTATTGCTGTTGGCGGTACAGAATTTTGAACTCAAATGTGTTCAAATCTGAGCCACACCTTCAGCCCTTTTTACTTTTAGTTCTCTTTCAGATACGGTCTCCCTTTTTTTTTTTTTTTTTTTTGGTCTCAGTTTGTCATGGACCTCAATCCTTCTGCCTATGCCTCTCACCTAGCTGAGATTATAGACGTGTACTACCATGCCTAGATTGTTTGGAAGATAGGGTCTCATGCTACCTTTTTGCTTGGGGCTGAAACTCAAATCATGACCTTCCTATCTCAGCCTCCCAAGTAGCTAGGATTACAAGCATAAACTATCCATGCCCAGCTACCTGTTAAAACATTAACACATGAAGTAAAATGTGAGAGTTTCCTGAAAAAAAAATCAGAGACAGAGAGGAGAGGGAAATAGAGATTAAAAAAAAGATTAGTCATGATGTAATAACTATTAAAAATACTAAGAACACTACATGAGTCACTACATTACCATAATAATCTCAATACTGGATATTTTAAAACTTTAATAATTTTAAAAACATTGGAAGAAAAATGTCTATTCCTTCTGACAATAATAGGCAGAAATGCACATTAACATACGTTTCATAGAAATAAAAACAGAAACAAGAATTCAAAGCAGATTTACAACAGAAAAAAGTAAAAGCAAAAGCAGTCAATCCTGATATGTACCATCCAGTACAACATGCAACCACTGAAAGCATGTAACAATACTGTGAGGCTCTCTCTGGACAACATACAAAAATTGAAATTTGAGGGAAGGAGTGACATTGCCCAAAAAGAAATGTACACCTTATCTGACTTATGTAACTATAACACCTCTGTACATCACCTTTATAACAATTTTTTTAAAAAATTTAATGAACCTAAAAATAAAAATTCACAACATAAATATAAAAGGCAATATACAATTATATAGACAAAATATTTATATAGAGAAAGTGATTCAAATAAAAATAATTGTGCTAGGATGAGGTATAAATATTTTATATCATAATTATTTTGCTATTTTTCATCTTGACATTAAAAACAGTCAAACAAAATTGAATCCTCCAAAGTACATAGTGGCTGGGCAAAAGGAGAACAAAAAGCTTCTACTTCTACTCAAGCACCAGTCTCTCAGATGCTAATGCACCTGAAGCCAAAAACAACCCTCTAAGAGTGGCTGCGGGTCGCCAATTTCCCTGAAACCACTGTCAGTGTCCACCCCTTTCTGCTGGCAACTCTGCTTAGACACCATGCTACTTCTGTTCACAGCCTATGGACCCCATAAGCCAACCCTCCTGAGCTTCAGGCTCTGATTCCACCATCCAGCAGTGTGTCCTCCTGTAATATGCAATCGATTTGCTTTTCTGCCTTCATCCCTCTCACTGTGGCTCCAGACTCACTTAGAAACTAGCAGCTCTCCACATACACATCCCCATACTGAAGGTCCTCTTGCCCAGGAGACCTAGGACTCCTACCTACTCAGTCCCATTTATAATTTGTTTCAAGTGAGACAAAAAAATGGGACAAACTTCCAAAGCCCCAAATAACATAGCCTCTTGCAAGCCTCTTCACTTCACTGGGAAAGAGATTGTTAGCTCAGTAGTAAAAACTGTCTAACGATATCACTGGAAGGAGGGTCACCTCTCATCCCTTACAATGGGTCTCTTTCTTTGGCTTTCTTTTGCTTCTTAATATAATTCAATCCCAGTAAGTACAAATTATCTTCATGAGAATTAGACTATACATAATAATGAAGTTCTAAAACTCAGGACTATTCTAGCTTTGTAAAATAATGTGTGGATACAAACGCTTATTAAAAAGCAAACATGGGCTGGGAATGTGGCTTTAGTGGTAGAGTACTTGCCTAGCATGCATGAAGCCCTTGGTTCAATTCTTCAGTACCACATAAACAGAAAAAGCCAAAAGTGGCAGTGTGGCTCAAGTGGTAGAGTGCTAGCCTTGAGCAAAATTATCTCAGGGACAGTATCCAGCCCCTGAATTCAAGCCCCAGGACTGTCCCAAAAAAAAAAAAGCAAACATGCCAAAGGCATAGTAGCCAAGTGATCTGTGGTATCTAACAGAAAATACAGTTGACTTAATCTTAATATGAGAAATAAAAATTCTTCAAGGCTCACCAACTAAATGAAGAGAAGCAGAGTAGAAGGCCAGTGTAAGTTACCTGTGTATGGGTACTGGTAGGGCACAGCATAGGCCTGCCCATTTGCAGCATAGACAACTTGAGTTCCTGCCGGGTAGGCACCACTGTAAGGACCGTAGCCATACATCTGCTAGAAAGAAAAAAGGCCCATTAGAAATACATTCCTGAAAGTTCCAAACACCTTGAAACTGCATCTCTAAGTGGCCATTAATAAAATTTGAATCATTAAAAAGGGAAGAAAATGAGACTACATGGTTATGACTTGTTTTAAGATTACTAAAAAATATAAACTAAACAACCATATTTAAAAGTCTACTTTCAGAGTATAAAATGAAGAAGATGTAAAATACAACAAAACAGAGAGCTGGATTTCTAAGAGACTGGGATATGAATTCATTTCCACCATTACCTCAACTTCCAATAGATTCCCCGACCTCTCATTCCACTAGACCTTGTTTTGTTCATCTGTAAAATGATTGGCTTAGACCAGGTGACAGTGACATTCATTCAAACATGTATTTTCCAGGTAAAACCAGCCTAGAGGCAGAACTGTCCCCAGCCCAATTTCAGCTTACTGGGAGGAAAATATAGCGAGGGAACACTAGAGGTCTAGGATTTGATCAGGTAGCTGATTTTCTGGTCACAAATATCTATGAAAGACCACTACCAGAAATAGTCAGAGGAGGTGCCTCCAATGACTGAGCAAATGAATTATGCAACAAGAAACCCAGAGATAAAAGAACAGCCTTGCTTATAAACTCACAGGCACATTTAGACAATTACAATTATGTTCATGATGTCACTACCACCTGATATGAGGAAAATAAGGGATCTGGCATAGATCTAAATCTGTAATTTTAGAAAAGCAGGAGAAAAGACTTCCACTTCTAGAAGGAGTGGACCTTCTTTCCTTATTTCTCCTTCTAAGAATGAGCACTTAAAACTCTGGACATTCCACACAGAACAACATAGGAAGCCACAGTCAGTCTAGTACCCTAGGAATGGAGGGATAACACATGGCAAATCTTCTGCCCTTGGAAATGTGAGCAACTACACAAAAAGGTCTCAAGAAAAGCCTGTTCTCCCTACTCAAAGCTTCTACAAGGGAAAGGGGTAGCTGAGCAAAAGGGAACACTTTTAGATGATAGCTTCTCTACTCTAAGCAAAACCACAGAAAAACCCCCAGCCCAGCCTCATTCCACCAGCAAAGGCCTCGTGTGGACAGCCTAAGCTCACACACTAAGCCAACGGTAACACAGCCTCCCCTTACGGTATTCCTTCTTAGTACTGTAAAAGAAGTCAAGCAGGGAGAGAGAAACTCTATTCCTGCCAGATGAAGGTGGTCCCACTATGGTATGGGGACCATGTGGGCCCTGAAATGACTATTCTTGCCCTATGGAAAAAAGACACCCCCTCCTTAACACCCAGGATGGCATCAGCATAGCCTCATAGATAGTATGTTCCACTCCATGGGAGCCACGGGGTGAGGTCAGAGCAGTGGCCTGAGTCCCCCCCACTTTATCTTTACGATGTCCATTTGCCTTAAAATCATTAATCATATCAAGTACCAGGAAGATCTTAAACTGAATGACAACAGAAAACAGTAACACTAAGGTAACAAAGACTAGAATTAAGGGATAGGATGATGCTCACTGGCAGAGCACTTGCCTATCATGTGCAAGGCCTAAAGGTCCAACTGGGAAAAAAAAAATCTTAAAGAACCTCCATAAAAATATTTCAACAAGGGCTGAGAAGGTGGCTCAGTGGTAGAGTGCTTGCCTTGCATGCATGAGGCCCTGGGTTCGATTCCTCAGCACCACATAAGCAGGAAAAAAAAAAAAAAAGCTGGAAGTGGCACTGTGGCTCAAGTGGTAGCGTGCTAGCCTTGAGCTGAAGAGCTGAGGGACAGTGCCCAGGCCCAGAGTTCAGGCCCCACGACCGGACACAAAAAAAAAAAAAAAAAAAAAATATTTCAACAAGCCTTGATGAACTCATAAGCAAAAAATAGAAACTTTCCCCCAAAATAACAAAATCAAGAAAGATATAAGAAGGTAAACAGATTTTTCTATATGAAGATATAAATAATAAAATAAAAATTTTAGAACCAAAATAATACAATATACACAATTCAATGAATAGGCTCAATAGAATAGCGCAGGGAAAGATTCAGTGCCTTATATCCAAAGTACAGTATCATAGAGAAGACAGACTAAGGAAAAAGAACAACAAACCTAACCTTCCTGTCATCAGTCCCAAAAGGGGAGGAGAAAAGGGTTGGCTGAAAAAATATTCAAAAATAATGGCTTAAAATTTCTCAAACTTAAAACACAAAATCCTATGTATTTCAAAAAGGTAAAGTATTAAATGAAATAAGCTTAAAGGAAGTCCCCACCAATACAAATCAAAGTTCTGAAAACTAAACACAAAGAAAACCAGAGCATGAACAGAAGGAAATAAACAACTCCATTAAACTAATAAAGTGAATAAAGCAAAAGGCTGACTCTGGAAAGAATAGTAAAAGTAACAGACCTGTGCAGGGGGCAGGGTTACAAAAATTACTATTATCAGCAATGAATAGAATGGCGACTATCACATTACAGACCTAACAGACATCACAGTAAGAAAACACTGTGGTGTCAGGCTTGCTGAGTCATGCCTGCAATACCAGTTACTAGGGAGGCAGAAGATCTCAGAGGCTAGCCAACAAGCAAACATGGTGGAGCACCTGTAATTCCACCTATGCAAGAGGCATAGGTCAGAGGATTGCGGCCTGAGGCCAGTCCTGGGAAAAAACTTAAGATTTTACCTGAAAAATACCTAAAGGAAAAAGACTGGGAGCTCAGCCCAAGTGGTTGAGTGCTTGCCTAACAAACACAAGTCTCTGATCAAATAGTTTATTCCAGAAAATGCAGGGTTGGTAAGTATTTGAAAATCAATCAATGTAATCCAGAATATAAGCAGGTTAAAAAAGAAAAAGAAACTACATGATCATTTCAATTGACTCAGTAAAAGCATTGAGTCTAACATCCATTCGTGATTTTTACAAACAAAGACTCTTGGAACTACAAAAAAGAAAACTACCTCAACTTGATGAAGTTATTTAGAAAGAAAGAAAGAGAGGGAGAAGGAGAGGAGTAATGAGTATAAGCATGCTGACCATGGTACAGCATTCCCCCAAACCCAAGAACACATCCTGCCTGACCATTGCCATTCAAAACAATTCTGCAAGTTGTAAGCAATAAGGCAAGAAAGGAAGTGGGAAGCATACAGACTAGAAGACATAAAAGCATCCCAATTTGTACATGCACCTACAAAAAAGGGATACATGATTTTAGTAAGTCCACAGGCTATAAGATCAGCATACAAAAATCAACTATACTCCATGTGAAGAGTAAAATTAAAATACAGCATCATATATAATCACTCCAAAAAGATGAAATACTTGTAAATCTAACCTATCTTGAACTGTTACACTTTTACACTGAAAACTAAAAAATACTGAAGAAAGAAATCAGAGAGAATATAAATAGAGACGCAGTCTATATTCATGCACTGGGAAACTCAATATAGTAAAGATGTTCATTTCTCTCCAAATAAACAGGAAACAAAAGTTTACAGCAATTTCTGTCAAGAACCACACAAGATTTTATAGTATATACAAATACATTAATTCTAACTTACATAAAAAGTGGTAGAATCAAGAGAGCTAAAAGAAAGAAGGAAGAATGGAGGTGGTAGTAAATCAGCTTACCAACTTCAAGACATTACTGTATATAACTACAGTACAAGAACACTATGTGTACTAGAGGAAGAAAAACACATTGATCAAGGGGCCAGAAAAATCAGAAATAGACACACACCTTATAAAAATATTAACTCAAAATGGGTCACAGTGGTAAGATAAAACTTTAAAATGGTAAGATAGTAACATAGGAGGGAATCTTAGGAAACCTGGTGAGGTATTAGATATAACAACAAAAGAATGATCTAGAAAAAGAAAAAATGGTGACTGGAAACATTTAAAACTTTGTGAAAGGCCTCATTAATGAGTACAAAGACAAGCAATGGAGCTGGGGGATGGGTAAGGCTCAATGGCAGAGCACTGGCACAGCATTAAAAAAGCTCCAGTTCCATCTCCTACACTGCAGGGGGAAAACAAAACAAAACAAACAACAGAAATGACAAGCTACAAGCCATAAATTTGACAAGAGTCTTATCTCAAACATACAGATAAGAACTCAAACTGAGAGCCAGGGGCTCTTGCCTGCAATCCTAGCCATTCAGGAAGCTGAGATGGGAGGTTCAAACTGGAAACCAGCACAGGCAAACAAATTCAAGAAACTCTTATCTCCAATAACCAGCAAAAATCTGGAAGTAGAGGCATGGCTCAAGTGGTAGAGTTATAACTTGAACAAAAAAAAAAGCTGAGTGTAAGTCCTGAGTTCAAGCCATAGTACCAGAACACACACACACACACACATATTCATAGAAAGAAATCTTAAATGTCAACATTTTTTTAAATGCAATTATAAAAATGAGAAAAGAAATGAAGAGATATTTCCACTAAGGAGGAAATACAGACAGTAAATAAGCACATGAGAAGATGTTCAACATCAACAGCTTTAGGGAAATGCAAAGTAAGTCTACAAAGAGCTACTACTGTAGCTGGGACAGCTAATAAAAAACAAAAACAGTGATAATACCAAGCCCAGTGAGGATTCAGCAAAACTGGATCACTCAGACATCACTGGTAAGAAAAATCTAACTTAAAAAAAAAAAAATTAGGGCTGGGAATGTGGCTTAGTGGTAGAGCGTTTGCCTAGCGTGCATTAAGCCCTGGGTTTGATTCCTCAGTACCACATAAACAGAAAAAACAAGAAGTGGTGCTGTGGCTCAAGTGGTAGAGTGCTAGCCTTAAGCACAGAGAGGCTCAGGGACAGTGCCCAGGACCTGATTTCAAGCCCCAGGACCTGATTTCAAGCCCCAGGACATGGCAAAAAAAAATTAAATTAAATTAAATTAAACCCATACTTAACTATGCATAGGACTCAGCAATTTCACATTTGGGTATTTATCCCAAAGAAATAAGACTTTTCATCTGTACAACCTGCACACACAAGTGTTTGCTGTAAGTTTTACTAGTAATAGCCAAATGCTGACAACAAAATACCCCTCTGTGGGAAAATGTTGTTCCATACAAAATGTAGGATATTTGTACCATGGAACACTATACAGCAATAAAATGGAACAGACACGCTAGGAACCTGCGGCCCACTCTCATAATCTTAACTTCTTTGGAGGCTGAGACCTGGAGGACCATGGGTTCAAGGTCAGTTTAGACAGAAAAGTTTAGTACTATTTTAACAGAAGAAGCTAGGCATGGCAGCATACACTTGTCATCCCAGCTATAATAGGCAGCCTAAAATAAGTAGATCACAATAGAAGCTTATGCCTACCCAGAAAATAAGGCCCTATCACAAAAATAATCACTGCAGAAAAGGAGTAAGGTGTGGCTCAGCAGGACAGCACCAGTGGAGGGATACACAAGGATGAACCTCAAGGGCATTAATGCTGAGTGACAGGGCCGTTATTCATCACTGAAGTGAAGAGATTGGCCCTGCTGTGGGGAAAGTGTGTGTGTGTCTAGGAAAGGAGTCACAGGAGGAAGGCTCTGTGAAGATCTGTCATGAACAGGTTGGTGGTTACTACAAGCTACACAATAACACAGGATTACACATAGTACTGTATCAATTTAAAATTCCTGGCTTTAAGCCGGGCACTGGTGGCTCACGCCTGTAATCCTAGCTACTCAGGAGGCTGAGATCTGAGGATCTCGGTTCAAAGCCAGCCTGGGCAAAAAAGTCTGTGAAACTCTTATCTCCAATAAACCACCAGAAAGCCAGAAGTGGCGCTGTAGCTCCAGTGGTAGAACGCTAGCCTTGAGCTGAATTGCTGAGGGACAGCGCTTGGGCCCAGAGTTCAAGCCCCACGACCAACAAAATAAATAAATAAATAAAATCCTGGTTTTGATGCTATCTAATATGCAACAATCAGAGAAACTGGTTTAAAAAATACCGAAATCCGTACTGACTTTCTGCAACCTTAAATATATACCCACTGCAACTGATTTAGGTAATTTTTTTTCAGGTCTTTTCTCACCTTCAAAAAAAAATTCTGATTATAAAGAGAATTCAAATCGATACATATAAACTATAAATCTTCAAAAATCTCATTATTTAAAGCAACTATTATTAACATGATTCATCTTTGAGGCTTATCTTAAAATAAACCCTGTGAACATAAATTCAAATAGATAATAGCTGCTTTACCTCATAAAAACATAAGTTGATAAGGAACAATTTGTTTCAGAAAGTAAAAGTTTAAAGTACATTCCTAATCTCTGCTACTGTTTCATATTAAAATCAAAACACAAAGACACAGGACAGCAGAGACCCGAGAGAGCCCTCCTCATCTGAGTGTGACCCTGCTCAGGTGGGCATCCTACCTCAGCTGTCGGTGCGGCATAGGCCATGTACGGAGGGGGCGAGGAAGCCACAGCAGCCTCATCGGACAGGACTGCTGAGCCAACATATGCCTGTATGGGAAGAGGACAGGTAAGAGCCAGAAGTACTTTTATTTTGCAAGTGAAAGGACCAAGAGCTATGAGAAGTAGGAAGCCCTGATGGTGGAGAGGAGTGGACAGAGCCATGAGCATGCTCTCTTAGTCCAGGAGCCAGGCAGCTATCCCTGTCCACTCTGCAATATCCCTGTCCACTCTGCAACAGAAACAGCCTTGATGCTCCACTGCCACACAAAGGCTGTAAAAAGACAGCATGCCACTCTCAATTCTCTGTTCACAATCTGACATGGAGCAATTAAAGATGTGTCCTATACAGTCTTTTTATTATTATCTCTAGGTATTTGTACAAAGGGAATTCAATTCAACGTATCAGTTTGTAGGTACAATACACCTTGATCCACGTCATCCCTTCCATCACTTTCCCCCTCTCTCAACCCTACCCATCTCCTCCATTTACCTAGTTCCATTTTTAGTCTATTTTTTCAGCCTTTTTTTTTTTTTCTGTCAGTTGTGAGGCTTGAACTCTGGTCCTGGGTGCCATCCCTAAGCTCTTCAGCTCAAGGCTAGCACTCTACCACTTGAGCCACAGCGCCACTTTTAGTCTGTTTTTTTTTTTTTATGTTAAAATGTTTATTCAATCGTTCCCCAGTAGAAAAGAAAAAAATAAATTACTGTTTTCTAAAAAACCACACAAGAATTACTGGTATTTTGCCCCTAACAAGGAACTGCTAAGACTAATTTCACCTAAAAAGAACATTTGCTGTAGGAGGTGACTGGAACTGCTGAGTAGGCATACAAAAAAGAATATATTAGGCTAACAAGAATAGAAAACACTGGCATTTGAATAGTAGGCTTTTTTACATTCTTTCCCTACATGTACAAATTCTTCTGTAAGCTTCATCTCATTTTTTTTTCTTCCTACAGAGATAAAGGAAAAAACTAAAAGCCCATCTTGAAGAATGAAAGTGTTGACCAGAGGTCCTGCTTGCTTGATTGCCTGGTAGGCAAAGTGGGACCTACTGCCTCCAAAACCTCCTAAGATCAGAATCAGAACCAGAGAGAAGTACAAAGCCCAAATGTCGTGAAATCTTATGCACAAAATAGATACTATAGTTCCTTTTGGACTTCAGGACACAGCACAGCACAAAACAAAACTGCAAAGTGCAAACATTTCTAGACAACATTGGAACTGGCATGCCTGTGTGAAGAGGGCTGTGCTATGTTCTGGCCATGGTGACAGCCATTAGCGACTTACAGTGTTTGTTCTGGAATCCTGCAGTGTAAATTTCCAGGCCCTGGAAAAAAATAAAAAGGTGCTTTAATTAAGGTTATCTAACAGTTCAGTGATTCCCAGATTCAGGTTAACATCAGAATTCCTGAAAAGACTTGCTTAAAGAACAGGTCTTCAACTTTCCCCAAAATAAATACAAGGAGTATATCCCCCCCAACACACACATACATATACATTTTTAAATATACCTATTATGGAAAAATAACATTTTAAACACAATGAAAACTAATATATTTGCTTTATTTCTTAAATAAATATGAAATATGCTGCAATTTGCCTTGCAGTTTAAGTCACATAACTAGATCTAATTAATTTTTAATAGTTTTCTATGATATAGGTAAGCTTAGATAGCCAGTAATGTATTCCAATTGAAAAGAATGTTTAAGCAGGTGCCTGTGGCTCACACTTGTAATTCTAGCTACTCATGAGGCTGAGATCTGAGGATCATGGTTCAAAGCCAGCTAAACAGAAAAGTCTTTGAGACTCTTATCTCCAATCAACCAGCAAGATGAAAGTAGAGCTGTGTCTAAAGTGGTAGAGCACCAAAATTGAGAGCATAAGTGGGGAGGGGAACCACACAAGATCAAGAGGCCCCAAGTTCAAGCCCCAGTAAAGGTAATCGTACACACACACACACACACACACACACACACACACACACACACACGAATGTTTTTCTTAACCTTATTACCCTTGGTACTCTTCAGTAAACATTTTCTACAGGATGAATTTGAATGAAATGCTAGATCAAAGGATATAAATATCATATCAAAGGCCCAGTAGAAAGTGTGTAACAATCCTGCCTAATCTTCCCCTACATGGCCACAAAAATGAGATTTTTAAATCTTAAATTTCACAAGAGTTTTCTCAGTTGTTGGGTAATTATCTCTTCTTCCCTCGCCCCTCATTCTTCTTTCTAACCTTCTTCTCTCATCCCTATCATTTCCATCTATGTTTTACTATCTCCTTGAGTTGAAAGATTAACTCATATTTTCAAATGTTCTGGTTTTCTAATGAATGTATTTCACTTGCAAAATTTCCCCACAAAAGGCTGGGAAGTTGGCTCAGTGGTAAAGCGCTTGCCTTGCATGCCTGAGGCCCTGGGTTCGATTCCTCAGCACCACATAAGCAAAAAGGAAAAAGCCGGAAGTGGTGCTGTGGCTCAAGTGGTAGAGCGCTAGCCTTGAGCTGAAGAGCTGAGGGACAGCGCCCAGGCCCAGAGTTCAGGCCCCGCGACCGGACCCAAAAAAAAAAAAATTCCCCCACAAATGTGGGGAACCTTGGCTCAAGCTGCTAAGGGCACTACATGCATCATCCGTGTACCTTACAAGTATTGTTTGTTTATCAGGCAGGACAGTCCAGCCTTTGGTCTACAGATTCAGTTCCATTATTCCAGAAGATTTTTCTTCTTGCACTGAATTTCTAAATGCCTCTTCTTTGGATTCTGTGCTTTCTGGATATCAATAATCTTTCTGAATCCTTTTCATCTAACATAGCTTTCATCTTTTTCTCAATTTTTTTTCTTTTTACCACATTTTCACTGAGATTTCCTCCACGCCAATGATTCACTGTTCAGTTGGGTTGTAAACCAGGGGAAACGTTAGCTTCAAATGTAAATGATACCCCAAGAGGGCCAAGGCTATAGACACAATGGGCACACACCCTAACCCTTATGCTTCCATTCTACAGTAAGAGACAGAGGACAAGAGAGTAGGAAAGAGAGATGTCATTTTAAACATGGCAGCTGGGCTGGGAATGTGTCTTAGTGGTAGTCTCCTTAGCATGCGTCATGCCCTAAGTTCAATTCCTCAGTACCACATAACAGAAAAAGCTGGAAGTGGTGCTGTGGCTCAAGTGCTAGCCTTCAACTAAAGAAGTTCAGGGACAGTGCCCAGGCCCTAAGTTCAAGCCCCAAGACTTCAAAAAAAAAAAAACATGGCATCTGGAAAACCACTCTGGAATCATTCCCTCTGTCATGCTTTCTCTCTCTCCTCCCAATCCCCACCCCACTCTTTCATTCTGAATTTTGTGCATTTGAACTGAGGACCTCGGGCTTACTTGACAGGCATCCTACCTCTTGATCCACAGTTCACAACCTTGTTGCATTAATTATTTCAGAGACAGAGTCTCATCATTATGTTTTTATGCACAGGCCAGACTAGAACACCTTTTTGTCTGTACTGACTTTGAACCTTGATTCCCAATTAGCAAGGATTACAGGTGTAAGCCACCAAACCCATTCCTTTAGTTTTGAGTTCTTTGAAACTTTATTTCTGCTTTGCTAGCCTCCAAACCAGGAACTTTTTCTGAGGCTTGCATCTTCCTTTCCATATTTTTTCCTTAAGGCATATTTGTAGAGTTGCCCAGCCATGGTTATATGCCCTAATCATGTTTAACCTGGAAAGGGATATCCAAAATATGTTTGCTCTGATGATGATGAGTCACTTTTCCATAATGTCTGACTAATCAAGCATTACCTGGCAGACCTAGCCTTGCCTGTATCCACAGCAGTTTGATGGACTAGATGTGACCCACAACTACTTTTGTATAATTCAAGGGCATGAGGTAGAAGAGATTTTTTTTCTGGGACAGAATAGGCCCCTTCTGAAAGATGTGGGTCTTATATTCTTTAATGACCATATTCTTTTGAATCTCTCATGCTAATTTTCACATCACCAGCCAGAGAATTACCCAACGCAGGTAAGCATCAGTGCCTTCAGTGCCCTGGCATGAAAAACCCTAGGGAACCTCCCAGCCTCTGATAAAGTCACAGGAATATCTGCTCTGAAGAGCTTTACATTACCTTTCCCAAAAAGTATTTTACTCTTAATGCTATCACTCACAATTACAGACTATTACTACAAATTTAGAAGGTTTTATTAATTCATGTTATGCTGTCTCTAAGATCAAACATGAGGATAAGGACAGTGATAAAACTCAGAAGAACTGTCTACTTCACTTCTTTGGCTATTCACAGTTAGTGCATGAAGTCCAACTTCTGCTGTGGAAATGTCTTCCCTTCATTTCAGAAAATAATTGGAGAAAATTTGTCAGGTTCATTTTAGCACTTTTACTCAGGAATCTCTGCTATAGGTTGAATTGTCTCATCAAAAGATAAGTTTAAAAAAGTGTTTAAAGCAGACAGAGCAAGTTTATTTGAGGCTGAGTATGAGACTCTGGCAATTCAGCTGAGAAACTGACTTCAGATCTATAGCCCCCAGAACTATGAGCAAACCAGCTTCTGTTGCTTTCATTATGCAATTTGTGGTACCTAGTGTAACAGCCCTGAGAATATCTCTTATTCTACTTTTTTACCAATCATTTTATTTCACATTTGCTTCTTAGTACCAGAATAAATAGTTGCACTTTGTATCTTCTACCTAATCTCAAACCTTATTTTCCTAAGGTAATGTGACCATCTCACTTTAAATGAAACCATGGATACTGTCAACATAACTACTGATAGGTGAATTTTTTAGTGATTTACCATACTTTACCAGTTTGTCTTTTTCTGATTATAGGAAGCATTTTCTGTTCCTTTTATTCCCCTGGTTTTAAAGGTATTATTCTCCATGTATTTCCCACCTAATTAATGCCTTTAACATCAGATATAGAAGGCCAGACATGGTGGCACATACCTGTAATCCCAGCTACACAGGAGTTAGAGATAGGGGGAATCATAAACCAAGGCTTACCCTGGGTAAAAGTGAGACTCTACCTGAAAAACAAACTAAAGTAGAAAGGGGGAGAGATGTAGAGTGGTACAATACTTGCCTCACAAGCATTAGACACTGAATTCAAATCCCAATACCACCAAAATAATAATAAATCAGACACAGATACAAACTCCTATTTTTTTATTCTAAGATTAGAGCTAACTCTCTCCTTCAGGCAAACCTTCACCATATTTTTACTTCTTCTACAAAAGGAAAAAAAAACTCCATGTTTTGCTGAAACACTCTCAAGTGCTAGTTCTAGTTGTTTTTTTCTACTATTGAAACATTTCACATAATCACCATTTCAGCCCCAAGAGAGCATAGCAGTTGAGACTAATCCATTAACTCCATGCCAGGGAATGTATGATGGGAAGAATGATGGCCCATAAAGATGTCCACATCCAAGTTTGTGAACATGATGGTTTACAGGGCAAAAAGAGACTGTGCAACTATAATTAAGGCTAAGTACTTGGGGTGAGGAGAGTATCCTGGAAAATCTAGGTTGGCTGAAACGAAACACAAGTCCTAAATACATATATAGCCTTTTCTGGCTATAGAGCTAGAGCAGTGGCAGTATGACAAGACTGGCACATTTTTGAGGAGAATAGGGCTAAGAGCCAAGGAATGTAGGAAGCCCTTCTATACTGAAAACGTAAGAAAATAGATTCTCCTATAGAGTGCCTATAAGCAAGGAAGCCCCACAAATACCTTTTTAGTGAACTTTATTTAAACTTCTGACTTTCAGAGTATCTGCCTACCAGTGTAAGGTCCCTGTTCAATCTCCAGTATCACCAATAAAAACAATATAGAATAATGTAGATTCCTGTGCACATACTAATAGTAGAGCTTGGACGAAGGGTCTGGGTACTGTCCCTTTTCACTTAAGGCTAGCACTGTACACTTGAGCCACCCCTCCACTTCTGGCTGTTTGATAGTTAACTGAAGATAAGCCTCATGGACTTTCCTGGCTGGGTTGACTCTGATACTCAAATCTCAGCCTTTTGAGTAGCTAGGATTACAAATATAAGCCCCCAGAGCCTAGCTAGTGTAGATTCTTTGAAGCCACTAAACTTGTGTTAATTTGCTAAAAGAATGAACAGAGAAGCTAACTAATTCTTCTATTCCTCAATTTATATACCAAGAGGAACAATATCTACTTTGTAAGTCACGATGATAATTAAAATATCTACAAGGCAGTTATGTCCATGCCTAGTACAAAGTAAGTGTTCAGTATTTGTTAACTTACTAAGTAGTAATGATAGTTACAGCTTATGAAAGGACCAAATTAGCCTGATACATGTCATTTTTTTATCCTTCTCTAGGAAAGCCATGATTATCTCCCAGAATACACCATTTAAGATTAACTGGTACAAATCAAAGAGTATAAAAAACAAGTTACATCTGGTATTTAAACCATAGAGTTTGGCATAGAATAAACATTTATCTCAAGGATAAGCATGAGCATGAATTAACAGCAGCCACTGACAAAATGGTCTGTGAGCTTCTATGAAAATGTAATTTATGTGCAAATACTTCAGTGATCCCTGCTAGCGAATTCTTACCAGGTCCAAAATTAACACACTGTAATGATACACAGTTAACAGAAAAAATTCATTTTCCTATATCTCATTCAGCCAGTGTTTTCAAAGATCTAACCTAATGATAATGCTAATGTCAACAGGCTGAGGACCATTTTATTTTGCATTTTAGTTCATGATCCCTTCTTGCAGAGCTAGTAGATGAAAGTAATTGTGACCAAAGCTAAGTGATACTACACTTCTTAAAGATATATTTACATTTTTTTAAAAGACGCAAGAAATAACTCACCTATGCCTATGAAGGTACCTAGTGTGACTCTGACAATAAAAAAAAAAGCATGGGGGGGGAGCACAAAGTGACTGCCACTACCTTCTGCCACCCTCATGGCCTGGCAGTCTAGCTGGGCAGGTGTGACAGGCAGAACCTGCAACCAGGAAAAAGTCCTTGTTACATTCCTCTCACACACTGCTAAGTCCTATGTTCCCCTGCTTGAGGAAACTCCAATCCCATTCTTTTCTCTTTATGATAACTAAAAATTAAACCAGTAACTACCTTGTAAATTAAACACACAGAATCAAAGCATGGGGTTAGAGCAATGGCTAAGGTAGTAGAGCACCAGCCAATGAGTAAAAGATTCAGAGTTTTAATTCAGGATGCAGATCAAAAAAAAAGAAGAAAAAACTCACAAACAATCATCTGTGCTTTCTGCACAAAGACTAACAGTTTTCCCATCTCGGCAAACAATCTGCAGCAGACAGTCTTTTGTCTTCCCATCTGGAGGCTGAATGTCTAGGAGGAAAAAAGAAGACAGAAGAAGCACTTACACAGTTGGTTTAAGATTTCTCCTTACACATTCTAAGACCTAACAACTTAGATTAGCAAAAATCTGGATAAGAAATCTCATGCTACATCCAAGAAATAACCGGTAGCCTTGTCCAACCGTGTGAGAAGGAAACAGCTAGCCTGCCCATCAGGAGTGGTAGTTAGAAGACTTCCACAAAACTTAATCTTTTCAAGTTCAAAAGCCATGTACATATGACAAATAAGATGATGTTAAGTGAAATGAACCCCAAGATAAATATTAACATATTTAAAATATACTATGTGATTTTTTTGTTTCTCTTGTATGTTCTTCTCCCATGCTATAACCCATTGTCACTGTATTTGATGTTAGTGCCCTGCATCTTGTATATACATTTCTCTAATTTGGGGACGGAAAGGAAAATAACAAAATGCTGAAATAAGGATGCAGGTTGACCCACTATAACAATGAGATGTACAAAACACTATGTTGAAGACAAACTTTACAACTTGGGGGGGAGGAGGGAAGAGTTGGAGAGGTGGGGAGGAAAGGGATGATAGGGGAAAACAAAGGAGGAGCTAACAATGCTGGATAGGAAATGTACTCATCACCTTACTCATGTAACTGTAAACCCTCTGTACAGTATTTTTACAATAAAAAAACATTTTTTTAAAACTAATCTGTTCAAGTGAATATGAGAAGTAATTCCAGGAGAGTATGATATTGTAGAAGCCAACAAGTAGCCAGAAGCCAGTGACTCACGCCTATGACCCTGGCTAATCAGAAGGCTGATATCTGAAGATCATGGTTTAAAGCCAGCCCAGGCAAGAAACTCCATGAGACTCTCATCTCCAATTAATCACCAAAAGCCAGAAGTAGAGTGATGGTTCAAGTGATAGAGTACCAGTCTCTAACCAAAAAAATCTAAGGGACAGGGCTCAAGTCCTGAGTTCAAGCCCCAGTCTGTTCTGACACATGGAAAAAAAAAACTGATATGTGTCTGTTTCTGTCACAAAATAAAAATCCCTCTTGGGATTCTAACATCCGATTCCCTCTCCAGCAGGTGATAGGACATGAACTGAAAGGGCCTAACTCAGATGAGAAAATCTATCTGAATGAACTCTATGGTTCACAACCTAAGTGCCTATGACCCCACTGTAGCTACCCATCTTGGATGGAAACTCTCTTCAGTCTATTAACAAATCCATATACAATAAGAAAAGAAATCCAGTTCCTATTAAGATTGAGAAAGGAGTTAGATGTCAGTGGCTCATGCCTATAATCCTAGTTACTCAGGAGACTACAATGTTAGGATCACAGTTCAGAGCCACCCTGGGCAGAAAAGGGACAGTAGCCTCTTATCTCTAATTAACCATCAAGAAGCTGGAAGTTAAAATGTGGCTCAAGTGACAATGTACCAGTCCTGAGTAAAAAAGCTAAGGGACAATACCAACGCCCTGATTTCATGCTCCGATATTCTCTCTCTCTCTCTCTCTCTCACACACACACACACACACACACACAGATACACACAAAAAAGACTGCAAAATGGCAGGTGACAAAATAGAACAAAGCCAAGAAGCTTACCCCGACACTCATGCCCCATGCGAAGATTGATGCAGTCCACCGGCATATGGACTTTATCCTCAATACTCTGCCGAGTCTGGTCATCATAATAGATTAGGTGGCCATCTGACCACAGGTCAAACCAATTCTTCTTCCAGCGTTTCAAGATTGTACCTGAAAATATAAGAAGATAGCTTTGGATGAAAAGAACAAAGAGTATTCTTACTTACAGCAAAAACAAAGGGAACTGTCCGTTAGCCCGAAGCATACCTACACAGAACTTAGTAAAGCCATCCATCAAATTGTTAGTGGAAACAGACAGTATGGCTTCTCTATACTGCTGTAACAAGGCTTCAGGCAGCACATTCTGCAGATACAGAGGAGGCTACCAGCCAACGGGCAAGTCCCAAAACAAACAAGAAAAGTTAGGCTTTTAAAAAGCTTGCAGGTTCAAGTCGGGGAGTGCCTGCCCAGGAAGCAAGAGGCCCTGATTTCAAACCTATATACCAACGCCCCCACACACACAAAAAAAAGCTGGATTAGAGAGTCACTAAGCAAATGATTATAATAGCTCTTTGGAAAAATGTTTTTTTTCTGTCCTTAAGAGCTTTAACCTAAACTTTTTTCTAATATTGCCCCTCAGAAAACTCAGAGCCAAGATCCTATAGCTCACACCTGTAATCCTAGCTACCCAGGAGGCTAAGATATGAGGATCATGGTTCAAAGTATAGGCAGGTAAGTCCATGAGACCCTTATTTCCAATTAACCACCAAAAAGCCAGAAGCAGAACTGTGGCTCAGGTGGAAGAACACCAGCTTTGACCTAAAAAGCTAAGAGACAGAGCCCAGGCCCAGCAGCAGCGCATACACACACACCCACCCACACACACACACACACACATACACACACACACACACACACACACACACACACAAAACACAGATACAGATGGAATCATGCCCTAGGTAAACAGGCACATATTACCTGGTACATCCCCTATCCTTCTATTTTGTTATCTTGGACCAGGAATTTGCTTCATAACGTTGTAATTTCCTTGCCTGCTGGGAAAGAATCTCCTGCAGTAGACTCTAGGGCAAATCTTAACTTCCAGCACTCTTTCTCACCCTGTTCTTGACCAATAAGCATAAATCTCCTTCTACTCCCGACATGTTCTTTTATGTGACATCCATCCTTCCTATTACCAATACTATACACTTTCTCATTGTAACACCAACATCCACATGATGGCCAGGGCATGAGCTACCCAGAAACCACCAGACTGAGCCACAAAAAAAAGTTGGAATCACCAGGCTAGGAGTTTCTGCCCAAGTATTCCCCCTGCCACTAAAACTCTTGACTGGGAATGCTCAAATCAAGTTGTACGATAGAGGCAAAGTACTAGCCCCTAGGTCTATGTAGGAAAAGGAGACCAGAGTACCACATGTCCCACATGTATACCTCTGCTGCTATGCAACCCAATAAATGTAATAGATGTCCCCTCATTTGTTCTTCTCAAGATTGATTCTTCTGCTGTTAGTAAAGGAAAAGCAATCCACATTTCTAGAGATGGGTCTATAAAATAGTCTTCTAAATACACACCTCTGAAATAGCTATGGTCTATTGCTAGGACCTTTGAAATGACTGGGTAACTTCAGGCTACTATGTGTAACATCATCAGGCTAGGCACTGGTAAGGAGCAAAAACACTGGTACACAAGATACTGTCCACTACAACTACAAACCACTTACAGTTAAATATGGTGGGAAAAGGAGAAAACCAGAGGACATCCAAAGGACCAGAATAAAAGTGGGGGAGGCAAGTATTCAGAGATGTTTGAGCAACTTCTTCACAGCCAAGGAGTGGTTGGGATCACAAAACCCAAAACAAGGAAACTTACACTAAGACTAGCACTAAACTCTAACACACCAAAACTTACTGTGTAAGTCAATATTACAACAAATCCATCTGTGCTAAAGGATGGATATGATACATGGTATCCTATGGTTAGGAAATAAAGGTCCAGGTCTAAGAATGTATAGACAGACACTAACAAGCTGAAGGGCCACATTTGTGTCAAAATAGTGTTAATGATGGAGTCAGACCTAGACAAATTGCACTGAATCTCCACTTGAACAAGAAACAATAGCACCTGCCAAAACTTCAGACAAAACAATGGTTTTTAATAAACTATCTAAAGCATGTAGTTGACTCTTCCCTGCTAGATTTACAACCACAAATTAAAGTCTCTAAACAGTAAATAACCCATGCTTTTGCTCATTTTTTGCTAAAGCCATAAATAACGTAATGGTCACTTTTCCTTAATTTGTCTCTAAAACACAAAATAATCTACTTATTCTTCCTTTAATAAACAGACCCAGCTTCTCCTGCTTTAAAGTAGAGGATGACTTCCTCAGAGATGAGCAGACAATATATGAAGAACATGTCCACAGAGACAAGTCTAGGACAGTGGACCCCAACCTGCAAGAAATGAGCTTCTCTTCAATGGAGCTGCTTTGGAGACAAAAGTCTCTTCAATAAACTATGTCCTCAGTCAAATTGTCCTCCAGAATCTGAGTCACAGTTCAATGCCCAGTAAGACAGATACTACTTACAGGCAGAGACTAAGCCCCAGTGACAACCTAGCAGTAAGGTGTGGTTAGAGTCAAGTGGAACCTCAGGTCAGCCATTAGTAATAAAGCAAGCTGTTAGTAATGGGGAAGCAGCAAGAACTGTCACTGATACCTCATTCCCATCAAGAGCAAGCAAGGAGGAGCTCCATGTGTGTATATTTATAGAGTTCTAAAAATTCCCAAGAGGAAATTCAAGGCTACTACATTAAAAAGGATTTCTGATTCATTTTTAAATGTGATTCATTTCACTTGCAACTACGAAAATAGAACATGAAACCTGGTGAAATTGTTTTCGGAAGGGAGGAAAAGAGAATGGTAGAAGGGGTGAGACTAATTGGAATATATTGTAAACAAGTGTGGAAACAGAACACTGAACTGCCCCTCGGTATAATTAACATAAGCTAATGTTAAAGATGTGATTCATGTAGGCAAACAGAAATAAAGATGTGCAGAAAACACAGCACATGTACTCACTCTGGCGTAGCAACCATCCACTCTTCACAAACGCCATCTCTTCACCTACAAAAGGAACAGGCAGGTTCAGAAAAATATCCAAGAAAAGAGGGACTCATCTGGCCCAATTCTCACTCCTCATGTCCTTCAGTGTGAGCAGAACACTCAGAGATATCTCACATCACTGGCCACCTGACCTCCGGTGTCTCCCATTCCCAGTTTGAACCACACTACCCACTTTGCTGAATCAAACAGAGAGGAAGCAGTCCCAGGATTACTAAGATCCAGCTCTGATAAAAATGTATGGCTTCTTATAACTCTCCCAGTGTCCTAGGGGCCTAGATGTCCAGCCCCTAGCTTTACATCTGGCATGCCCAGCAGACTGACATGATACAATCTGGGCAGGATAGCAGAAATACCAAGGGAAAAAGCTGATAAAATTAACTCCATCACAGTATTAAAAAAAAAAATGTTCCACAAGCCTTAGTCCTCCTACACCCTATCTGAAACCTTATACTCTGAAGGTTCTAGCATTCCTTGCAGTTTTTGCCAACTCATGCTATCTATTCTGCAATCTTTCGCCTCAGACATACAGCCAGCATCCACTTTGTCTCAGTAATCACAAACAGAAGCAGCTCAATCCTGCTGTCTGCCACCTTCTGACCAGCAGGGACCAGAATGCAGGTGGCTAATCCTAAAGACAGAAAATCTCACAAAGGTGATCCACCAACTAAACCCAAAACCCACTCTAATCCAGGGATTTCTGCTAAGCAAAATTGTAGGTTTATCCTTTAAGCTAGGTTGAATTTGGTTCCCTGCATTAACACACTGAAATAACATTCTTCCAACAGGATTTGAGGTAGAGAAATATTATCATGTGCTCATTGAACAAATATTCTTAGTGTAGCTAAGAATTGTGCCCAAATTGCCCTACACACTGGAATTTGGCAGTTCAACTACCTACTTTCATGTAGCTTACACTCTAATAGTAAAGAAACAAGTGAGAAAAGGATTTAAAAGCCAGGCTATATGTTGCAGACATTACATTTCTGCAATGTTATTACCTCCATTCACACCAAACTGGAAGGGTAAAATGCATTATACCAAAGTGCAAAGCATGACAAATCCCTATGCCCATATCACATAAAAAAGAATCTCTCTAGCAACAGCTACTTAGCAAAAAGTACTTGAAGAAGAACCACCTAGTTACAATACAAAAAGAAAATCTGACTGAAATGTTGCCACACAACTCTGTTAGTAACATTAGTTTATGGCTTTGAAACAGGTATATAAAAATGTGGAACAAGGACAGCGCCCAGGCCCTTACTTCAAGCCCCATGACCAATCAAAACTAAATAATAAATAAATGTGGAACAAAAGAAAGGAGTTCCTTGAATTTCTGTGGTATCTCTATTTAAATTTCAAATGTCTAACACCAATTTGGCAGTATTATTGCCATTTTAAACAGTCCAAATGTCAGGCCAGTAGAATACTGAATAGCTTTGCTTATTCTCTGTGCCCATCAGTTGAACATGTCTGTCAAATTACGATCAATAGCAACATCCAGGAAAATGTTTTAAAACACAGCTCTAGAAGACAAGTGCTGGTGCCTCATGCCTGTAATCATACCTGCATATAAGGCTGAGATTTGAAAGAATCATAGTTCAAAGCCAGCCCAAGCAGAAAAGTCCATGAGACTCCATCTGCAAAATAATCATCAAAACTCAGGCTTAAAGGCATAGCTCAGGTGGTAAGTACCTACCAGCCATGAGCAAGCAAGCCAGCAAATTAAGGGCCTGAGTTCAAACCCTGGTACTAGAAAAGATAACTTTAGGTAAAGCACAAATCATTAGATTTCCTATTGTCTCTGCTTATAATCCACTAATGTATGAGTCGTGCCAGGTACAGGTATCTCCTTGGGATGAGAGCACAGTTTCTTTGCAGGTAGGAACTAGACGTAAAAGATATCAAAAAAGAGAGAACAGCAGATTTGGGAATTAGTTCCAGGCCAGTTAAACAAGCTTTAAAATGGAGAAAAACAGAAATATGTCTGCATGTAAAGAACATTATGAGCATACTAGATATACCTATGTAATACAATTAACACTATTAAAAGAAAGGGAAACATTAGACAGAAACTGGAAACTTTCCGACAAAGGAAATTCTGATGTTGAATTGCTTAACTTATTTTCTGGTGTCATCCTATCCACCTTTAGTTATTATAGGGAACAATCTCATGGCTCCTAGTGCCCAGGTTTTATTATCTCTAACTCTAGTCTTCTCTAAAAGGAATCAGCACTCAGTGCAAATGAGCTGATTACAATTTAGGGGCTGAACATCTCAAGACAGTCTTGAGACATATTACTATGAAAAAGCAAAGCTGCATCATGCCTGGGGGCTTATATCTGTGGCCCAGTCCTCAGACAGAGGCAGGAGGATGGCTCGAGTCCAGGAGTTCAGTGTCGGTCTGACAGCCTGAGTAATGTAGTGAGAACTTGTCTCTTAAGAAAAATTTGCTTTTAGAAATGCTTTTTAGAAAGGATTTGAAAAAGCCAACTAGCTGTAGAAAGGGCATCAAATTTCAATTAATAGTCTCAGCTTATTAGAACAAGAGAACTAGACATAATGGTGCATATCTATATTCACTCCGGGAGAGGAGACAGGAAGATTGAGTTTAAGACCAGCCCAGGTTACCTGGTGAGACCAGGTCTCAAAACAAGGGAGGTGAACAAGTAACCTGAACATCAAGAATTCAAATTATACCACTATAAAATGTTAGTGAAAAAGAAATTTTCAATGTGAGTTTTATCTCACACAACTGGGAACAATGCAATTGGGTTTTTATATATAAAACTTACAATGCAATTGGGTTTTTATATATAAAACTTTATTGTTATTGTTAAGAAGTTATACAGAGATGTTATAATTCCATAAGTCAGGTAATGAGTACAATTCTTCTTGGAGAGCTGCCCCTTCCTTCACTTTCCCCTGTGACTTTTTTTTAAGCTGATACAGTGATTTTGTTTACTATCATCCCATAGATAATCCAAGTGTTCATTTTGTTAATAGTTAATCCAAGTGTTCATTTTGTTAATAGTAAGGGATATGTGTCATATTTTGTATCTTAGATGTTATGATTTCTTTTGTAAGACCAAAAGAGTAGATATCTAGGCTAAGGCTCAAGGTTATAGAGATTTAGACAACAAGGATAACCTAGGAAAAGGCTTGGAACCAACCTAAACTTGAGCTAATGAAGAAAAATGGCTGTGGGGAAATGAACCATAAGTTCACATGCTAAGGAATGCATTGAGTTTGTTGATCTGAACTTGCTGGGCAGGCACCTACTGCTGGGTCTCCGGGAAAATGTAAAGAAGCCAAGAGGCAATAAATGCTCCATAATGATGAGAGCATCTTACTGTACTGTGTGGAATTTGCAGAATCTTCACCCAGGGTATACAGTACTTTTAGCCACAGGGCATCTTCTTAGAACTCTGAAACCTGAGAACTATACCATCTAACAGAGTTAACAAGGTTGCAGACAGTTGAGTACTTTAAAGAAATGTGTGTCCTTTGTATCTTCTGACCTCTGGGGTTGGTCTCCACATTGGTTTCACTACCACACAGAGTACTACCTGCCTCTTCAACCTCTACTCTCAGCTACAATCTACCCTGGCCTCTGGCTCCCAATCCCTAAGCTTCATGTGACACAAACTAGATCCCCTACATACCAAGCAGACTAAGTTAAGACATGTAAAGGGAAGCAAGTCCTCACATAAGCAGTCACAATCACTTGTTTCTTAGCTGAGTCACCTTACTCATACTGGACCAATAAATGGTTCTGTCTAAAGTTTGGCCCTGTCACACTCTTCCAGCAGGTCTTGAACCCTCCCAGAAGGTAAGGTCTAGAGAAGACACTGTGTATCATTTTGCTTGTCCTCAGTCTTCTGAAGAGTCACATGCTACTTCCTCACAGAGTCCTAGATCCTACTAGCCTGACCTGCCTTAAGGTTACCTATGGCAGGAGAAATGCAAAAGAGGCAGACTTTTAAAGTCTATCTTTCCATTTGTATCTCCTTCATATATTTCTAGAGAATTCCTGGTTCTTGTGGCTCAACATCATAGTTCACAGGGGAGTTATTTTCCAAGGGAAAGGCAGAGAATACAATTAAAATGCAAATAAATGTAATGCACATGGCAGTATATGAACTTCACCCATGGTGACTGCTCTGCTATTTCCAAGGTTAATTATGGATCATAATAGTGGCTCACGCCTATAATCCCAACAACTCAAGAAACAGAGGATTGTTGCTTAAAGCCACCCTGGATAGGAAAGCCTAGCTCCAATTAACTAGCAAAAAAAGCCAGAGGTGGAGCTGTAGCTCAAATGGTAAAATGCTAGCTTTGAGCACAAAAGATCAGTGACAGTGCCCAAGCCCCAAGTCCAAGCCCCAGGACCAGCACGAAAGAGAGAAAGAGAGAGAGAGAGAGAGAGAGAGAAAGAGAGAGAGAAAAAAAGACAGACACAAAACAGGTAACTCTGCTCCCTTCTGAAACACAACCAGGATGATAACTGGAAACAAGGCATTAATCCACAATAATAAAGTGAAGAGATTGGCAAAAGAGACAAAGTCAGATAAGAAGTCAGATAATTCTAAAGCAACTAGACAAGAAATAACAGAAAATATAGCTTTCTTTGGTTTTCCATATGGTAACAGAAGCAAAAACTCAGCAAACCAACTCTAGCTGTATATAAAATTCTAGAAAATTCAGAGAATGGAAGGAAAAGATAAATCTGAAGGTGGGAGAAATATTGGCAGAATTTACTCAAACTCACTAAGAATTATTAGGCACCAGAACCATCTAGGTAGCAATCCTTATGACCCTGAAGATCTCCCTCTAGAGAGGCTCTGGGCTTGGGACATCAAACACAGCTCAGAGAGGGTATGAAATGTCACACCTAGAAGAGGAATATAGGATATGAAAATCTTAAAATACCCAGTACTCTTCCATACCTCACCTCCTAGAAACTAGCCCAGTACTAAGGTCATAACCAAAGAGGAAAAGCTCACTGATACTGATGGTTGGGGGTTCCACAATAAAAAAAAAAAAAAAAATCAAGTCTCCACTCAGCTAATAAACTTTAAGCACAAGACTTTCTATCAGTCTTTCTTAGTACCTTGCTCTTAAATAGGAACAAAGAGCAAGAATCATCTATCATTTAATAACAGCCTAACAGATAGATTAAAGAAAACAAGACTCACAGGAATCAAAGACAATACAAAGAGCAAAGAAGTTCAATAATGAATAAATAAATAAATCCCTATTATTGGAGAACTAATACATGTTACGTCCAAAAAACAAAACTACTGTTTTGTAAAATAGAAACATTCACAGAGCTCTCAGTTCCAAGATAACTACAACTAAAATTTTAACAAAGTTGAGAATGTAACTCAGTGGTAGAGTGCTTCCTGGGCAAGGCTCTGGACTGCATCTCCAATACCAAGAATATGTATGATAAAATTTAATAAAACCTAATGCTTATTAATATAGGCTTTAGAGCCTGTGTTTGCAGGGTGCTGGTGCCTCATGCCTGTAATCCTAGCTACTCAGGAGGCTGAGATGTGAGAATCCAGGTTCAAAGCCAGCCTGGGCAGGAATGTCTGTGGGACATTTATCTCCAATAAACCACCTGAAAACTGGAAGTGGTGTTGTGGCTCAAAGTGGTAGAGCACTAGCCTTGGGCAAAATACCCCAAGGAGTGTGTCCTGGACAGTGTCCAGGCCCCAAATTCAAGCTCCAGGAAAAAAGAAAACAAAAGATTTGTTCTGTGTTTAAATCCCAACTCAGTTATGTTACCTTAAGCAAGTTTCTTTATATTTCTAAACTTTAATTTTTTGATCTATAAAATGAGAATACCACAGGCTGGGTGGCAGTGACTACCTGTAATCCTAGCTACTGAGGAAACGGTTATCTGAGGATTGAGGTTCAAAACCAGCCTGGACAGGAAAGTCCATAAGGCTTTTATCTCCAATTAAACACCAAAAAGCTGGAAGTGAACTGTGGCTCAAGTGGTAGAATGATAGCCTTGAACAAAAAAAGCACAGGGACAGTGCCAAGGCTCTGAGTCCAAGCCCCAGGACTGGCAGGCACACATATACACACAAAGAAAATACCACAATTTACTTGATAGGATGTTTGGAAGACTCAGTAAAATATTCAAGTATGTGGCATGATGCCTGATAGTTACTAACACTCTACCCATGATAACTGCTCCCACAGTAATAAGTACTACCAACATCAATGTTAGTTTACTCATTATTTGGATATTTATTTAGCTTTAAGTAGTTGGACAAATGGGTCTCAACTTAGTCTGAATACAATGTATCTTGATCAATGTCATCCTTTCCATCATTCTCCCCATATCTCTCAATCTCACCCATCTCCTCAATTACCATTTTCATGTATATATATATATATATGTTGAATATTATGACTATATTCACCTACCTTTCTTCTTACCATTCATTTTATTCACTCTATACACTTAGCTAAAATTTGTCCACAACATTGTAAAACAGGGACATTAGTCTGTTTCTCAAAAGGAGCAGAAGATTTAGCAAAATACCTTGAGGATCAAACTTTAAACACAGTTTAGAAGAAGAAGAAAAAAGAGGGCGCAAGGGAGACAAGCAACTTATTCCAACATTTCACTTTTTATATTCTGGATTAGGGCCTAATGCATAAGTTAAAATTCATCCAGCTAGATGCCTCTGATGTTCATCTTAGAGGACAAAAAAAAAATTAGTTGTAAAACAGCCACATTACTTCCAGGACAATAAAATCTATAGAAGCCTTGAAAACCTGGCCACATTCAATAGTTCAGATTAAATAGGAATTCAACTCAGTTGTAATGCACTGAGTACAAAAGGATCAACTTAACAGGTGAAAAGATAACAGTGCCAGATCTGGACCTGAAGCTATTCTGCCTCTCCTTCCTGGCATGACCTTGAGCAAGATACTAAACCTCCCTATGCCTGTTTTCTTACTGAATGAAAGAAAAGACACACCAATTATCTAATGGGGTTATCATGAAGGTTAAACTAGGTGTGTCAGGAAGAGCCATACAACAGAGCCTTCCATAGTTATGAATGGCTGTAACTACACTACTATCTTGTTTCAAGAGCTGTAATTCTGGGTAACTCCACCAAACACAACTTGGCCTGTTCTAACTAACACTCACTTTAGCTGTAAACAATTGCCTCAAGAAAAGGAAAAAAAAAGAGTAATTAGAAATCCCAGGTATATGCCAACACCAGAGGGGTTCACATGTAGTTCCCATTTCCAGCAGACTTGCCCAGGATCAGGTCTTCTAGACACAGAGAACACACCCGCATCCTCACAGAACCAGCGGCAGGAGTATTCCCACCCACCTGCTGGCCCTTAAGCAGGTGCGCCCACTGCACAGATACCTGTGTGCCGATGCATACATGTTTGGATTACTAATATCTTCCATAAATATTGTGGGCTATAAGTAAACAGGCAAGCCCCAGCCCTAGCTCCCTATGTGACTTTCAACAAATCACTTCCACATCAACACTGATCCCCTCTGAGGCCTGAGGAAACAGGAAGAGCCCCCAATCTAGTATTGGTTGTTCTGTTTCCTGCTCAAATGGGAGACATCAAAATAAGGAGGAGGAAGTAGAGGAGAGGGAAGAGAGAATATTTGATGATAATCAACCTCATTCCTCTGCCCCCAACGAAACACGATGTGTAAATTTACTCTACCAAGAAGCCTATTTGTGAACTGCTCTACATGAGCTTTAAACCCCGCCCCTGCAAAAAACAAAAAAAACAACTCATGCTTATGAAAAATAAAAATCCATGACCTCAGAGTTCTCAATCCAATTGCATAACAGAATCAAATGTGAACGAAATATATACTGTAGAACCAGGCATCTATGACACTAAAGGCCATCTAAGGCCAAAGCCTGGGAACGCCAGCTAGGTAGGGCCCATCCGGGAGAAGCAAAGCGCCGAGGAAGGGCAGAAGGCCCAACCCCGGGCACTCGGCGCAGGGGCGCTGGCAAGGCGCCCGCAGATCCCAGGCTGGCAGAGAGGCCCACGGAGGCGGCCGCGCTCGGTGCTCGCAGGCCCCGGGGCTACGGAGGGGCGCGGGACCCAGGAGCCCGGGGAGGGGAGAGGAAGGACTTCGGTTCCCCGGGAAGGGGGCGGGCGCAGGAGGTCGGAGAGGTGGGGAGCCCAGCATAAGGATCCGGGCGCGGCGGCTCGGGAAGGGCGAGGATTAGGAAGGGCAGACTGGGGAGCAGACAGGACGGGGTTCGCTCAGGGTCAGAGCACAGGCGGCTTCCGAAAAGGGAGCCGGGCTGGAGGAGGGGTCGGGCAGGGGAAGGCGGGGAAGGGTGGAGAAGTGCAGGCCGCTCCGGAGAGCTGAGAGGCGGAGGATTCGCATTGGGGGAGTGGGGTCCCCTCCCGGGGTCGGGAGAAGCAAGGCTCGGGACGGGGAGGAGCGAGGAAGGAGAGGCGCTGGCTGTCCGAGGATCAGGGGCTGGGCGGCTGGGGATTCAGGACGGGGGCGGGGAGGGAGGGTCCCCGAGGGCCGGAGACGGGGGCTGCGGGAGGTGAGGTCCCCCTAGGGGCGCGGACTGAGGAGGACCCTAGAGGAGGTTCTGGTAGGGTCAGGAAGTGGGGAGCAGGCAGCCGGGTGAGAGGACCAGGGTTATCCCAGGCAGGAGGGGACGGTCACCTGCGAACACTCAGGCCGCCAGCGAGAAGCCGAGGAGACCAAGGACGCGCAAGCTGCCGAGAATGGACAACCCACCGGGCAGACGCACGCGCAAAGTCCTGCGTCCCTGCCCTGAGCGCATGCGCCAGGCACGCCGACCGTGTCGTGGGCGGGCGGGGGCGGGGTCTGGGCGCGCGGGGCGGGACCTCGGCTAGGCGGTGCTCTTCCTTGGCGCATGCTTGGTCTTTGCCCGTGAAAGAGTAGGAAGCACCGGACTTGGGCTGTACGTCCCATCTCTCGCAAATAAAAGGCCTGAGAGAAAGACGTATGTGTAGGACCTGGACTAGCCAAGGGCTAGCTCAGGCAGGACCTCCTCCTAGAAGTGAGGAAGCGCTCAGCTATTAGCCTGAAAGAATACCCAAAGGCCAAATTTGGAATACTTTTTAAGTCTCTTAGGATTGTTATAACACGGAGATAAGTATTAAAGAAATGCATCTTCCCTACAGAGGGATTGTAATTATTTTAACCATCAAGGCTGATATCTTGATCCCTACCCATCCAGAATTTGAGAAACCGCCTTTTCTAAGTGACCACGGTTCATAGCAACAGCGATTAGACATGGTGGTAGTTACCCCCATAAGAAGCGATGAAAACTCTCCTGTGACCTTCCCCCAATATCCAGAACTACTATCTAACCCGCAGGGAGACACCAGACAGGTCTCAACAGAAGGAGGGACATTCAAAATAATAACCCATCAATACTCAGAACTGTCAAAATCACCAAAAAACAAAGAAGACTGAAGCGGTATGGAGCCCCAAATGGGATCCTGGAACAGAATAAAAGTGTTCATGAAAAAATTATGAATGCTTTTTCTTAGTTAATAGTTTTGACAAATGTACTACTGTTATGCAAGATGATAACAAAAGAAATTGTGTGATGGATATAATGTCTCTAAACTTTAAGTCTAAAATCATTACAGGGGCTATAGGTATAGGTAAGTCATATAACACTTGCTTAGCATGTATGAGATTCTGATATGGATCCCCTGCACTGCAAAAGAGAAAAAATATGTATTTCTAGTTTTTTTTTAAAAAAAGATGATGAGGAAGAATAAGAAATGTTAATTTCCTTGCTGTTTAACATCTCTAGAAGAGAGCAGGAATGCTGTCTAGAATGGGATTTGAAGAAATCCCTGGCAACCCCCCTTATGGGTGCTAGAAATGCTCCTTTTGTCTATTTGAATGGTGGACATTTGAAATTAAGCAAATGTTATCAAGGCTTAAGATTTATTCACTTTTCTGGGAAAAATTTTAACCAAAAACAAGATATGGTGCAGAAATCCTGTTCTTACTGGTTTTCCAAACTCTAAGCTCTGCACATAAAGATCCCTATCTTAACACAGCCCCTCTCTGAGGGTAGAAATGCTGGCTGGGGAGTCATGTGCACCAGCAACTGAGCTTTTGCAAGATAGCTCAGTTTACTTAAGCAAGAGTTTAGAGATTGGCACCATTTGGAATTCTTCCAGGTTCTACCACTCCTGAACGCCCTCAAGAAAAATGCTTCTTGCCGGGCGCTGGTGGCTCACACCTGTAATCCTACCTACTCAGGAGGCTGAGATCTGAGGATCGTGGTTCAAAGCCAGCCCAGGCAGGAGAGACCGTGAGACTCCTATCTCCAATAAACCACCAGAAAACCGGAAGTGGCGCTGTAGCTCAAGTGGTAGACCGCTCGCCTTGAGCTGAAGAGCTGAGGCACAGGGCCCAGAGTTCAAGCCCCACGACCGACAAAAAAAAAAAAAAAAAGAAAAATGCTTCTTGACCAGTTCTGGTTAAGACTCTAAGTGTATTTCAGAATGCTGTCAGTGCTATGCTTAGGAGTTTTTCAAGGTTTGTATTTAAAGTATCAAAAAAGTACACTAACATTTGTTGAGTAATGACACTATGGATGTGTTTTTCTTCCTACTTCTCTGCATTTACCAGTTTTCTTCAATAAATGTGGATTGCTTAAATAACAGGGAAAAGTGATATTAGCATCTAGTTTGGTTTAAGCTATAGTAAGAAATGCCCCTCAGAAAATGTCCAGGTTAATCAAGTTGAGTTTCTGTCTAAACTGATAAGAGGAGCCTAAACTGATTACAGGTGAGGACATCTTTCCAATCCCACAACTGACAATACTGAATGTATGACTTTGGGTCTGAGCCTGAGACAGAGACATTGAATAGCTTGATTGGAATGTCACACCCAGTCACCCTGCCTCTGTGGACCTCAGTTCAGCCAAACCAAATTACCTACTAATTTGCTCCATTCCCTTGTTTGTTTCCAATGATTAGAATAGCTTTTCTTGTATAAAGCAAGGAAAAAGGAAAGAAGGAAGGAAGGAAAAAGGAAGGAAGGAAGGGAGGAAGGAAGGGAGGGAAGGAGGGAGGGAAGGAGGAAGGGAGGGAAAGTAATAGATTCTTGTGGTTACAAAACTCCAATAGAGCATGAAGGAAAATGCCACACTCCATATAATTTGAAATGTGTTTTCGACAGATAACAGGAAGTGTTAGACACTCATAGTTCTAGCTTCTGTAGCTTTCCTAAATGACTAGCGACTGCCAATGTTCTCTGCCAGTGGGGCACAGCAGTGGTATATAAGGCTTTGTGGTTAACGCCCAGTGTTCCCATTGCTTCTCCTTTACTTTATTGTGCTTCTTATTAGTTGTTGAGTATCGATCATCTATTTCACCAGACCTAAAGGGATAAAAGTGTGTTCTTGATCTCCCAGTTCAAATTCAAAACTTACAAACCTAGTTGCTTTCTATCACATTTGGCCACCTGAAATTAATTGATAAAGTTCCTTACTTGTTTTACAGAATTAATGTGGATTTGATTACAGATATGAGCCACCAGCACTTTGCTTGGATTCATTCTATTTTATTATATTATATTACATTTTTTTTTGTCAGTCCTGGGGCTGGAACTCAGGAACTGGACACTGTCTCTGAGCTTCTTTTTGCTCAAGGCTAGCACTCTACCACTTGAGCCATAGCACCACTTCTAGCCTTTTCTGTTTATGTGATACTGAAGAATCGAACCCAGGGCTTCATGCATGGTAGGCAAGCAATCTACCACGAAGCCTCCTTCCCAGCCCCCTCATTCTTAAAAAAAAAAAAAAAAAAAGCTTTTCTAGTGGGTGCTGGTGACTCAGACTTGCAATCCTCACAGTTCAAAGCCAGCCTGGTCAGGAAAGTCCATGAGACTTATCTCCAGTTCACCACCAGAAAACTGGAAGTGGCACTGTGGCTCAAGTGGTAGAGTGCTTGCCTTGAGCTGAACAGTTTAGGCCCAGTGTCCAGGCCCGGAAGTCAAGCCCCATGACTAACAAAGAAAAAAAACAACAGCTTTCCTAGAGCCAAGCTTGATGGTTCATAGGAGGAATGCTGTCCCAGAATAGCCCAAGCAAAAAGTTCATGAGACGTCACTTCAAACAACAGCTAAGCAAGGTAAGTGCACCTGTCATAGCACAAAGTGAAAATAGAAATATCATGGTCCAGGAGCATACCCAAGCAAAAATTGAGACCCAAACTCAAAAATACTCAGAGGAGAGGACTAGAGGTGAGACAGAGGCAGTGGATCATCCCCCTAGTAAATGAGAAGCTCTGTTTCCAACTAATGTGCCCAAAGTACAGTACTTTAAATGCATGTATGAAAACAGAACAATGAAACCAGTTGAAATGGCCTTTAAAAAAACAAGGATGAGGACGAATAATAAAGGGGGGAGGGGTGGTTGATGGGACACAATGTATGCATACATGAAGATACCACCATTTAAAAAAGATCCCTAAACAGCCAGGCACTAGCAGGCATGCCTGTAATCCTAGCTACTCGGGAACCTGAGATCTGAGGTTCACCATTTGAGCCTGCCCAAGGAAGGAATGTCTATGCCACTCTTACTTCCAGTTAACCACTTAAAAAAGCTGGAAGTGGAGGTTTAGAGCTCAAAGTGGTAGAGCATTAGCCTTGAGAAAAAACACAGGGCTAGCCCTAAGTTCAAGAACCGACACCGAAAAGAGACTGAAAGTGAGAGAGAAAAAGGAAAAGAGAGAGGAAGGAAGGAGGAAGGAAGGAAAGGAGGAAGAGAGGGAGGGAGGGAGAGAGAGGAGGGAGGGAGAAAAAGAGAACAAATGCATTAAAAATCTTAAAAGGACAACAATTCTCCCTCCAACTAGTCAGTGCACAAAAGGCAGTGGTATTATTCTGTCCTCATTTCACACAACAAACTCAAAGTAATTGACTAGGGAAACACTAAGACTCCAATAGAGAAAAAATGGCAATAGGTACATGAACCAATCATCCATAAAAAAATGTAAATACAATCATCATATTATGAAATGAGTCAAAATTATAATTTATTAACACAAGTGAAATACAGATTTTTTTGAACTAGTAAATTTATTTTTTAATATATAGTTTATTGTTGTTGAGGTGTTGTACAGAAAGGTTACCGTTTTATAAATTAGGTAATGAATATATTTTTTCTGTTGGACAGTGTCACTGGTTCTTTTGGTTTCCCCTCCCATCCCAGCCCACAAGTTATATAGGTCATTTTCCACACAGTAGCTACTGACCAACATGGTTGCATTTGTCCACCTTTCCTCCCTCCCTTTCTACACCCCTCCTCTCCCCTCCCTCCCAAAAAAGAAAGAAAAACACTCAGCAAAAACAAATACCACAGCCACTACCACCACCAGTAACAACAGTAACACCATAAAACCTGAGTTTCCATTTCCTGGAATTCATTTCAATAAATAGTTTTTTGTTGTTGTTGTTTTGCCAGTCTGAGGCTTGAACTCAAGGCCTGGGCACTGTCCCTGAGCTTCTTTTGCTCAAGGCTAGAACTCTACCACTTGAGCCACAGCTCCACTTCCAGCTTTGTCTGTTTATGTGGTACTGAGGAATCGAACCCAGGGCTTCATGCATGCTAGGCAAGTACTCTACCACTAAGCCACATTTCCAGTCCCATAAATAGTATTTTAAATGTTATCAGAAGTTACACCTTTGTGTAGGGAACTCTGAGGCCAAGCTGTGAGACAAGGAAAGGGGTAAGAGGCTGGAATATGGCCTTATCAAT